TTCACAATTTGTACAGTGTCCCAACTTTTTTGGAATCGGGTTTGTAATATCCATTTCTGATGTCGCCAATAATTAGAGATTAGTTAGTTGCGCACCGAAAATTAGTTGACCGCTCAGGTTTCACTTTCACGTGGTGTGACGCTCTGCGTATTATCCCGCTCTATGCGTGTGCGCTCTGCACAGTCGCTCCACTCGTATACAGTTCATGCTCATCGGAACAGCAAAGTCCACTCAAAAATTGAGCCGACAGGAAACATCAATGTAGTACAGTACTGTTTCTGTCTGCAATAGCCCTACTGTGCTGTAACATGGTGTGGTAAGTGGAGGACACCAAAATGAGCAGCTTGAGGAGGAGAGACAGAACATTCATCATTTAATTCCACTGAGAGGTCTTATACACACTCTCTCTCACACACATACACAGAAACATTGAGTCCACGGACAGTAACAGACTCAACACAACTGGTTTACATAGTGTCCTTTACAGCGGCCCATCTTTTGTGTGGTGACAAATACCAATTGTGTTGCCTATACAATAAGACAAGTACAGAGTTTCCATTCCATTCTGCACTTTCTTCCTGTCGCATTTCCTGTCTTTGCTTACTTACTGATGGGCTCCTTTCTCTCCGCCTTCCTTTCATCCTGGCAACTTACAATGACTTTTATGTGTGCTTTGAAATTGTAATGTAAATTTTCATATTCTGATTATGTATGTGTTATGTTAATACTACTTGCTGTGTTAAACCAGTATTCCAATAGTTTGATGCTGAAAATTTAGCTTTGCCATCAGAGGAATAATTTACACTAAATACATTTAAGTAGAAAGTATTTTAAATTTTAATATTATTAAACAGTTTTTACTGTATTTTGATCAAATAAATGCAGTCTTTTGAGCATAAGAGACTTATTTCAAAAACATTTCAAAAATCTTACTGACCCCAAATATTTAAATGGTAGTGTACAGTATATTGAATTAAATTTTTTTTTACAACATTTAAGTAGTTTTATTCTTAAAAATAAACTTAATTAGTGTTTAACTAAGTGTAAATAACTAATATTATTCTGAATATCTGAATATTATTAATTTTGGAACATGGCATGACCAAACTAATGAGGAATGCTATGAGTTGATTTGAAGAAACATGCTTTTGGAGATGAGAGCAGCATCAAAATACATAAATTAATGTACAGACGAGTGAAAACATTAAGCCTTATGACCTGCATTTTTAAATTCATTACAAGTTGTTGTCACAGTCCTAAATTAGTGAGTCTTATGAGATTAAATTAATGTGCAGAATTACTCTAAATGCAGCAAAGTAAATGGCAAGAGTGAGCATCTACTATTTCCACAAAATAATGGTAGGAAAAGTATGTGCAAGCTTATAAAATATATATGCTTAATATACTGTTACTACAGTATGCTGATTACGTGTAGACATGAACATTTCTTTATGAAAATTACTTCTTTAGTTGAACAATGTCACCACCATTTCTATCTAAATGGTTTCTCCGTTTTTCTTTTGTAGCCCATAAGGAATCATAATCCCTGGATGCTTCTGTACTTCATCTCCTTCCTGCTGATCGTCAGCTTCTTCGTGCTGAACATGTTTGTAGGTGTGGTGGTGGAGAACTTCCACAAGTGTAGACAAGACCAGGAGGAAGAGGAGGCCAGACAGAGAGAGGAGAAGAGACAGAAGCGCATGGAAAAAAGACGCAGGAGTGAGTGTTTGTTGTACGTGTTTGAGTCAGACTGTGTCATAATAAAAAGGTTCAGTCATTTTTCTGCTGTCACTGAAAACAGACTTCAGAACTAAATGGATTTTTCGCCACTTTTTTTTACCACAATTTTTAGAGGAGCATAGGGCAACAAAATATTTTGTGGCTTGTCACTGCTGGTTAGAATAAAACTAGCATGGAACAGATTGGTTTTATTGCTTGTAACTTTATTGCATCACACATGGTTAGTACAGTTTAATTGCTAAGCACTAACAGCCTCTAAAAGCCACTCAGTTTTAAAGGGGTCATATGATGCTATTTTAAAGATCATTATTTTGTGTATTTGGTATAACAGAATATGTTGACATGCTTTATTTCTAGGTTAAAAAAACTGTTGTCCATAAAATGCGTTGCTCAAATTCGAACATCTGGGTTGTGCTGTTCTGTTGTAAATAAATCTTAACCAATGATTTCTAATTGCATCTACTTCCGGAAGGCCAAATAAAGTGCTTTTGCTTTCGCACTGAAACACAGCGTCTCCCTGACATGGCTGCATCAACACGACTGCTGTTCCTGAAACCACGCCTTCTTTCTTTGCTTGCACATTTGGGCGGCATTATGCTAATATTTCCACATAGTGATGTAGATATGTGGGAGCGTGTTAGAACGAGCCGTTTTAGGTAGGCGTGGCTGACTCTTAACTTTCATAAAGAATATCTCTTTGGATTTGAGACTTTAGTCTTTGCAACTTTACAGATCTTCTTTATGCATCAAGAGCTTGTAACACTCCAAAGAGAAAGGAAAAATTGAAATCGCATCATATGACCCCTTTAACACTCTAAAACAGGGTACTCACACTATTGCAATGGTATAGAAACCACCTAGAACACATTAGCAACTATATAGGAACAAAATATAAGCCATTTAGTACACTTGAGCAACTACATAGCAACACCCTGGCAACCACCCTCATCTCCCTAGCATCAAGGATGCGAGTCCTTTACACAAGTAAGTAATATTCACAATACCATTAGTGCACCATGTTACTGCCACAGTACTGTTTGTATGGGTGCCCGAAGTGGAAACTGAATTAGTTAACTGTCTCAGGACATCACTTGCTCTCTCTTGCTCTCTCCCTCCCTCAAATGCTCACAAAGCTTGTCTCAAAGACACCTTGAGCAGTCTTGAGCCATGATGGATGTGGGGGGATGCTTGGCTGGACATTTATAACGTCCCTCAGATGACTCGACTGTTTGCTAACTGTGACTACACACACACACACACACACACTGCTACGTTAGCAATTTACTGCCCAGACAAAAACTGGGTCAGTGTGCTTGTGTTTGACAGGGACAACAAAGTAGCCTATACAGTGCACTAACAACAACCTGCCCTTGAGTTATTTTCAATGAAACCTTGCATATCTTGTGAATATTAACAAGTATTCAGTTCAAATCTGTATTACAAAACCGACATTTTTAAACCTAAAATCTTGAGCGAGGATGTTCACAGCATCCTGTGATGCAAGATGAGTGTGAGTACCTGAATGACCTGAATACACCCTAATGAAGGTGTTCTATTGGTCTCTGTGTGTTTGTTGTTTTTTAGAGGCTCTGCAGAGACCGTACTATGCAGACTACTCTCCAACACGCCTCTATATTCACACATTCTGCACTAGCCATTATCTGGACCTCTTCATCACCATCATCATCGCCATTAATGTGCTCACGATGTCAATGTGTCAATGGAGACAACCCAAGGTTTGGTGTATTACACACACACACAGACGTCTCTTCTGCAGAGCAATGACACTATCAAACTATCAATACAAACCTGTTTGCAAAAATGCTAAAAGTATTTAGTATAGCATTTGTTATTTCAGTATCTTAGTATTTATTAATAATATAAATTAGTAATTTTTATATTTTCCATTTTAGTTTAATTTTAAAGTTTTGTTGTGTTCTAGTCATTTTTATTCGTTTTATTAGTTTTTTTAATCTTTTTAATTTTATACATTTTTATTTTAGTTTTAGTAATTTTAGTTACCTTAAACTAAACGAAAATGAGAAATTTTACTTTCACAACTAACTGAAAAAAAACAAATTTTTATGTTGTATTTTATTTCGGTGAAAGTTTAATTAATTACAATTAATTATTTTTTTTAGTATTTTTATTTTTAGTTAAAGAATGCACTGGTTCACTCCCATACTTCTATAATCAGATGTTATTCAGAGCGAAACAGTATTTAATATAAACAAATACAGAGTTATAATTGATTTTATGCATCGGAAATAGTTTGGACCATGAAAAATTGGAATTGCATAATGAATTGACATCAGATGGTGTTGAAAAATAAGAGGTCTTGGTGATGTCAATCGAAAAGAAAAGTTTTTTCAGAGGCAGAGCAATTTATTACATTTTGATAAAAGATTTTGACAAAAACTAATATTTTTTTACAATATGAATAACCTGCACTGATGCATTATTCATAATAAGACTGTATAGGACTGTATAAATAAATAGTCAATTTTAAATTTCTGTTGAATTGAGAGTTTAATATTCAAGGTGTCTGACTGTCTTTATTTGTGTCTGTGTTTCTCAGTATCTGGATGAAGGTCTGAAGTACTGTAATTATTTCTTCACACTGGTCTTTGTGATAGAGGCTGTGCTGAAATTGGTTGCGTTTGGCTTTAGGAGATTTTTCAAAGAGAGGTAAGGCTCCGTCATGTGGACACAATGCGGAAATACAGCATGTTTTCTAGACAGTAAGTTCACTAGTTGGTACATTTCTGATATTGACATTTCAGCACGGATCTGTTCTCACTGCAGTAGTCATGGATTTCAAGAAGCGATGAGAAAACTGCTCAATAAGTTTAGTTTCGCTTTAATGGCATGTTGCAGTTCAACTAAAATGCATCAATTATAAACTACTGTTCAAAAAATTTTGAATATATTTAATGGCATATATCACCATTAGTAATATTCACAATACCATTAGTGCACCATGTTACTGCCACAGTACTGTTTGTATGGGTGCCCGAAGTGGAAACTGAATTAGTTAACTGTCTCAGGACATCACTTGCTCTCTCTTGCTCTCTCCCTCCCTCAAATGCTCACAAAGCTTGTCTCAAAGACACCTTGAGCAGTCTTGAGCCATGATGGATGTGGGGGGATGCTTGGCTGGACATTTATAACGTCCCTCAGATGACTCGACTGTTTGCTAACTGTGACTACACACACACACACACACACACTGCTACGTTAGCAATTTACTGCCCAGACAAAAACTGGGTCAGTGTGCTTGTGTTTGACAGGGACAACAAAGTAGCCTATACAGTGCACTAACAACAACCTGCCCTTGAGTTATTTTCAATGAAACCTTGCATATCTTGTGAATATTAACAAGTATTCAGTTCAAATCTGTATTACAAAACCGACATTTTTAAACCTAAAATCTTGAGCGAGGATGTTCACAGCATCCTGTGATGCAAGATGAGTGTGAGTACCTGAATGACCTGAATACACCCTAATGAAGGTGTTCTATTGGTCTCTGTGTGTTTGTTGTTTTTTAGAGGCTCTGCAGAGACCGTACTATGCAGACTACTCTCCAACACGCCTCTATATTCACACATTCTGCACTAGCCATTATCTGGACCTCTTCATCACCATCATCATCGCCATTAATGTGCTCACGATGTCAATGGAGCACTACAGACAACCCAAGGTTTGGTGTATTACACACACACACAGACGTCACTTCTGCAGAGCAATGACACTATCAATATGTTAACAAACCTGTTTGCAAAAATGCTAAAAGTATTTAGTATTGCATTTGTTATTTCAGTATCTTAGTATTTATTAATAATATAAATTAGTAATTTTTATATTTTCCATTTTAGTTTAATTTTAAAGTTTTGTTGTGTTCTAGTCATTTTTATTCGTTTTATTAGTTTTTTTAATCTTTTTAATTTTATACATTTTTATTTTAGTTTTAGTAATTTTAGTTACCTTAAACTAAACGAAAATGAGAAATTTTACTTTCACAACTAACTGAAAAAAAACCCGTACTATGCGGACTACTCTCCAACACGCCTCTATATTCACACATTCTGCACTAGCCATTATCTGGACCTCTTCATCACCATCATCATCGCCATTAATGTGCTCACGATGTCAATGGAGCACTACAGACAACCCAAGGTTTGGTGTATTACACACACACACAGACGTCACTTCTGCAGAGCAATGACACTATCAATATGTTAACACACAAACCTGTTTGCAAAAATGCTAAAAGTATTTAGTATAGCATTTGTTATTTCAGTATCTTAGTATTTATTAATAATATAAATTAGTAATTTTTATATTTTCCATTTTAGTTTAATTTTAAAGTTTTGTTGTGTTCTAGTCATTTTTATTCGTTTTATTAGTTTTTTTAATCTTTTTAATTTTATACATTTTTATTTTAGTTTTAGTAATTTTAGTTACCTTAAACTAAACGAAAATGAGAAATTTTACTTTCACAACTAACTGAAAAAAAACAAATTTTTATGTTGTATTTTATTTCGGTGAAAGTTTAATTAATTACAATTAATTATTTTTTTTAGTATTTTTATTTTTAGTTAAAGAATGCACTGGTTCACTCCCATACTTCTATAATCAGATGTTATTCAGAGCGAAACAGTATTTAATATAAACAAATACAGAGTTATAATTGATTTTATGCATCGGAAATAGTTTGGACCATGAAAAATTGGAATTGCATAATGAATTGACATCAGATGGTGTTGAAAAATAAGAGGTCTTGGTGATGTCAATCGAAAAGAAAAGTTTTTTCAGAGGCAGAGCAATTTATTACATTTTGATAAAAGATTTTGACAAAAACTAATATTTTTTTACAATATGAATAACCTGCACTGATGCATTATTCATAATAAGACTGTATAGGACTGTATAAATAAATAGTCAATTTTAAATTTCTGTTGAATTGAGAGTTTAATATTCAAGGTGTCTGACTGTCTTTATTTGTGTCTGTGTTTCTCAGTATCTGGATGAAGGTCTGAAGTACTGTAATTATTTCTTCACACTGGTCTTTGTGATAGAGGCTGTGCTGAAATTGGTTGCGTTTGGCTTTAGGAGATTTTTCAAAGAGAGGTAAGGCTCCGTCATGTGGACACAATGCGGAAATACAGCATGTTTTCTAGACAGTAAGTTCACTAGTTGGTACATTTCTGATATTGACATTTCAGCACGGATCTGTTCTCACTGCAGTAGTCATGGATTTCAAGAAGCGATGAGAAAACTGCTCAATAAGTTTAGTTTCGCTTTAATGGCATGTTGCAGTTCAACTAAAATGCATCAATTATAAACTACTGTTCAAAAAATTTTGAATATATTTAATGGCATATATCACCATTGCTGATTATTTGATTATTTGAAAATACAACAAAAACAGTAATATTGTGAACATTATTACAATTTAAGATTATTGTTTTCTATTTAAATTATCATTTATTCCTGTGATGGAAAGCTGAATTTTCAGCATCAATACTCCAGTCTTTAGTGTCACATGATCCTTCAGAAATTATTCTAATATGCTGATTTGCTGCTCAAGAAACATTTATTATTATTATCAATGTTGAAAGCAGCTGTGCTGCTTAATATTTTTGTGAAAACCATTTTTTAAAGATTCTTTGATTAATAGAAAGTTCATCAGCAATATAGCAATACAGCAATATAGCAGAAATATATTTTTTGTAACAATGTAAATGTCTACTGTCATGTTTGATCAATTTAATGCATTCTTGTTGAATAAAACTAATAATTTATTTTTTAAAAATAATTTTATTTAATTTAAAAGACTTTTACATTGTTACAACAATTCTATTTCAAATAAATGTGTATATTTATCTGTGATTTATTACATAAATAAATACAGGAATGATTTGTGTTTTCTCTCTGCATCAAAATATGTGAATGTGCTTTTGAATTATTAACAACTTTTGAGACTATTATTCTATTGTTATGCTGATTCACAGTTATATTCTATATATAAACTATCAGTGTCAAACTGCGTCTTGAGCCACAGTGCTTTTCCAACCCTCCTATAAAACATGATTGTTGCACAAATATTTCAAACCTGTCAGTCATTGATTGAAATCCTGTTGCTCTGTCAGCATCGCATATCATGCAAACGTGAAAACTTGCAACCCATGTTCTAATATAGTATCAACTCACTGACTGAAGTGCTATCATAGATAAAGGTTACATGATGTCATGAATAATAATGAGACAAGGCCTTCTCTTAAAATAAGACCATGCAGACTCATGAATAATTATGAGACACCTTTGTGACACATCCTGTGACGTTGACACAGAGAAAAATAGCCTCAAAAGTCTATAAATTAATAACTTTCCTCTATAAATTAAAAATATGGGATGCTAACATTTTCTTCCACTGTCTTTCCTTCGTGTTCCATGGCTCTTTAAGCTTAAAATAAAGTTTAAGAAAGAAAGAAAGTGTTAAAACAAGACCTTTGCTTTAACAGTCTCAAATGGTCAAGTTTAGCTCTTTTCAAGAATATTAAATGGTTTCATAGGACCTTGTCTTTATCTCATTGGGTGTTTCTGTCTTTTTTCTGTCAGGTGGAATCAGTTAGACTTGGCAATTGTTCTTCTCTCCATTATGGGCATCACACTTGAGGAAATTGACCTGAATGCCTCACTACCCATCAACCCAACCATCATTCGCATAATGAGGGTGCTGCGCATCGCCAGAGGTACCAAATACATGAAGACACACACACACACAAGCTGTGACAAGTGAGAAAATAAACAGGGTACAATAGAGAAGTTTCCAGCTTTTCTAGCACCTCTAATAAAAATTTTAAATTTAAAAAGTTTTATTTACTCTGTCGCTCAAAAGTTTGGGGTCAGTAAAATTTTCTTTCTTTTTTTTCCGAAATAAATTAAAAATTGTATTCAGCAAGAATGTATTAAATTGATCAAACATGAAAGTAAAGACATTTCTGCTATGAACATTTCTATATCAAATAAATGCTGTTCTTTTGAACTATCTAATCATTAAAGAATCCTGGGGAAAAAATCACAAAAATATTAAGCAGCATAACTGTTTTCAACATTCATAATAATAAAAAATGTTTCTTGAGCAGTAAATCAGTATATTATAATGATTTCTGCAGGATCACTGAAAACTGGAGTGAAGGCTGCTGAAAATTCAGCTTTGCATCACAGGAATAAATTACATTTTAAAATATATTCAAATAGAATACGGTAGAGAACGGTAGTTGATTCTTTTTATATAGTGCTAAACAGATATGTATTACAGTTTGGGTTTGTGACAGTAATGTCAAAAGGAGATTTCAGTGGTTAAAGAGGAATGATATGTGATATAAAATTCCCTTTCAGTGTTGAAGCTGTTGAAGATGGCCACAGGAATGAGAGCTCTTCTGGATACAGTAGTTCAAGCTTTACCGCAGGTCAGTAAGTTTATACAGTATGTCTTGTGGTACAGTATATGCTATTTGTATTGAGGAAAAACTTCACAGAGACCGTATATGTCCCGAGATGATGGTGTATGTGGCTTTATTCTGGTGATGTTCTGGCTTTCCAGGTTGGTAATCTGGGTCTGCTATTTATGCTGCTGTTCTTCATCTATGCGGCGCTGGGAGTTGAACTTTTTGGCAAACTTGGTCAGTATACCTTTTATTTTCCATTAACATGCACTACTATTCAAAAGTTTGGGGTCAGTAAAACTTTTTAATGTTTTTTAAGGAAGTCTTTTATGGTCACCAAGGCTGCATTTATTTAATCAAAACTCTTCTTCTTCTTATCAGTTTTGACTATTATTATTATTATAGTATTACTATAGGGGGGGAGGGTTGGTAAATATCTTTACTGTCATGTTTGATCAATACAGTACAATGCATCCTTGCTGAATAAAAGTAATAACTTCAGAATCTTACTGACTTGCAGAGTGAATGTAGTTACATAAAATAAATGAACTTTGGAGATGAAGTATTAAAATAAGTTATTTTTTAAATCAGAATGTACTGAGGAGAATCCGTGTGAGGGATTGAGCAGACATGCTACATTTCAGAATTTCGGCATGGCATTCCTCACTCTGTTCCGTGTTTCCACTGGAGATAACTGGAATGGAATCATGAAGGTATTTTGCGAACCATGAAAATATTCATGCTGCATGCCATAAATGCGTGATTATGGAATGCGGATGTTTAATGTTAGCTCTTAATTAGACTTAAACTCACCTTCATGTCATTCCAAACCCAAAACTCAAATGTTTAAAGGGGTCATAGGATGCTACATGCACTTTTACAAGTTGTTTGCACTGAAATGTGTGTTGCCAGTATGTGTACACAACCACCCTATAATG